CCCCCCCTTCCATCACATAAACACGAAAAGCACCCCTAAGACACCTGTTCAGGTGGTAGAAAAAGTGCAATCTGAATATGAAAACACTTTGCACAAAATCGAAGCTCAGCTAAATATTCCAATTGTATTGACTTCCACAAATTCCCTACTCTTCAAGAAATGACTTCCTTGAAAATTCCTTCATTCTAAACAAAGATGAAGGACTTTGCGAAAGTCTACAGGTCATGCTATGCAAGTTTTTAATGATTTGCATTATTCAAATTGCAGGTTTATTGGCATATCATCATAACCAGTTGCCATGGCTAGCTTGCCACTGAATACTGTACAATATCATATATAACAAATGATAATAATTAATACTTAAATGAATCATTTGATATGCAGAATTTTGCCCCAATTTTCATTTTAATGGTACTTTCAAAACTACCACTACCACAGAACAACAGAATAATCTGCCGACTGGGAGACAAAATCTATTTTGTTGACATTTTTGTTTAATACGTCAGCTTCATATGACACCATTCATTGTGTAAATGATTAAGATTGCGATTGTTTAATACGTCAGCTTCATATGACACCATTCTTTTTATAAATGATTAAGATTGTACTCAGTCAGAACTGTAAAACTATATAATAAGAAAGAAATTGTGAGCATTATGGAAAAAAAGTCAGATAATTTTTCATTCGTGTACAATTGTGTGTTACATTTTGGACATCATACTGCTCATTTGACCTTATGCATAATGATGTCACAAGGCTTGATGCCTGCGAGGAATGCTGGTCTTAAGCTATGGGCAAACTAGGAAATGTTGCGGAAACATTTGTGATTCTCAATGTTTCCTCAGACGTTTCCCTGTTCGCCCACCCATGGAAACATTGTTGCAGAAAAAAAAATTGCTTCCTGAGAAACAAAAATGTTTCCTAGCAAATTCAGAAACATTTGATGTTTCCCCAAGTTTCTCACTAATGTTTCCTAGTGTTTGCCCACTCTGGGAAACATGGCGAAACATTGGGAAGAAACAACGTTTCCGCAACAACATTTCCTAGTTTGCCCAGGACTTTAGTAGTAATCGCTCAGGAAAGTTAAACAATTCAAAATGGCCACTATCGAAATTTGCCTGGACCGTGATGACTACTAAGACCAGCATTCCTCACAGACATCAAGCCTTAAGACGTCATTATGCATAAGGTCTATTGATTTGATATACAGACATTACAGTAAAGCCTTGCCCTCACATAAAAGAACCAGTAGGTTAAGAACCACTAGCCTGAAATTTGTGCAATTGAGCACCCAAAATACAATGTGTTGAATATAAAAAAGTATAGCAGGGCTGCCAACTCTCCCGGATTATCCGGGAGTTTCAAGATTTTGGACCTAATCTCCCAGTCTCCAGATTTTATTTTAATTCTCCTGGATTAGGATAATCACCAACGTCGATTTATGCACTAGCCATTTGATTCTTCGTTGTCAAAGGTTTTAACAATAAAAATTATTTGCGTTGAACATTAAAACTTCGTTTTGCTGGAAAAATACAATTATTTCGTTGCTGCCTGCATTTATGCACTAGCCATTTGATTCTTCGTTGTCAAAGGTTTTAACAATAAAAATTATTTGCGTTGAACATTAAAACTTCGTTTTGCTGGAAAAATACAATTATTTCGTTGCTGCCTGCATTGCTTTTAATCAGCGGTTGAATGGTGCCATTTTCCGTAAACACTTCATCTTACAGGGATTTTTTTACCCGTATTGACACCATTAAAGATGTCGATATTTTATTAAAATAGTACATAATATGTGAAACTTGAAATCAACAGTTATTTGTGTTGATAATGAAGTTTGACAATAAACCAGTGTATATATCTATATACCAGCAGGTATTTACAACTGCATAGTTGGCTTTTTGATAATGACGTCATTTCCGACGTGACGTCATCGATTTCAATCGAATATCAATTCTCCAGATTTGAAAACATCCAGGGTTGGCAGCCCTGGTATAGTGTGAAGTAAGATAATATAAGAACCACTTCAGGCTGAAGTCAAAATTCGCTGGCTTAATTACTGCATATCATATTCCCATAATTAAATAATAACAATATCAATAATCATTTTACTGTAATATAATAAATATATATAACTATTTTAGCAGTAAATATTTTAATTATGTAGCGGTATATGTTCCAGAGTTTGTTTTTAAAATTTAACTGTGCATATCAACAAACATTTAGACACTTTTATAATTATACCCAAAGAACAGATTATATAATTATTATTATTATTCATTATTATTAATCAATTGATAAATTACATATCACGTGTTACAAAACAATTTTTAAAATATATTACAAGTTTATATAACTATTTTTATTGGCAATTTTCTAATTTACATACAACCTACATATTTGTAAAATTTGATATACAATACCTTGTTGGCTTGATCTTTTGACAGAATCAGTATACAACTTTATTATTGCCAACCGTCGACGATTGCCCAGCTAGGAAGATCACAACCTCGCTAGTATAAAGTATAAAATATAGCTAGTTCACACATAGCTAGCAAGTTTGGTACAGTTACAGCGAGTTCACAATTCACTGCTTTTTTGAAAAACAAAATATGAACGGCTCCTTTTGACTTGATTTGACCAAATGATCGCCACGAACACACAACAAAATATACACCTAGAGGAGATAGAATTCGAATTTTTATAATGTATTTATAAAAACAGACTATCACGTTCATTTACATATATAAATGAAAGTATTCAAACGTTCAAATAACTATTTTTATCAACATACCTTCAAAAATATAATTCTTTTGATAGTTTTCCTCCAAAATCAAATAGTAATATTGTCAAATAAGCCTTGTGCAATGGAAAAATATGCGACATTGCCATATGGTCATGTCAAAATTAAATGTCATAGCTCCTATGAAGCTACGGCGCACCGAACGCAGCTTTCGGTAGTGATTGGATTGTCATCGTAAACTTCCTGCGTATATAAATTTGTGCACAACGTCATTCGAATTCTGTGACGTCAGAAAATGCGACCCGAATGATCGAACGAACGACAAACAAATCTCAAATGCTTTGGCTAAAATACATAAGTCGCGCAGGGATCTGGCACGAGTAAAAACTGTAAACGTTGTCAAGAATAGGTGGCTGCCATCGCTTCGCTCGGCAGCAACTACTCTCAAAAGATCCTAATAATATTTTTATACGTCATTTATTCTTTGCAAAAAGAAAGGAATATAAACGTATGGTTAAGAAACAAAAAAGACAATTTTATAATTCCTTATTGAATAAAACTGAAATGTTATCTGATAACAACCCCAAAGAATTCTGGAAATTAGTTATAATGATATAAAAACATGTAAATCGTGTACGTCAAACGAAATTTCATCATCAGAATGGTTTGATTATTTTAAAAACTTGAACAAAATAAATTTTAATACCGAAAAGTCTGGCACTGAAGCTCAGATAGTGAAGGATTTCAGCACTTGGGCAACCTGCAAAGACGACACCCTTGATAAACCAATCACAACTGAGGAATTACATAAATTATCAAAGAAATTAAAAAACAAAAAAGTGAGTGCAGGTGATTCACTGTCCAATGAGGGGGAGCTTCACCTCGAAATTTACTTTAACTTAGGCCAACTTTAACAATCGTTTTCAGGCATGTTTTAAGACAAAATATGCATAAACTATATATTTTTAGAAACTACAGATATTAAGCTACAAAATGGAACAAAAATTTTTTTCAGTGTTCGTAATCAGATTGAAATTTGACACCACAGAAGAGAGTAGTATATAGAAAACTAAATTCTAATGGCCACTTTGCCCCCCCATAAAATCTCTTTCAATATGTTGTGTATTCAAGTGAAATTGCACATGATGGTAGCTAGGATATTGAACTATGCTCCTATTACCCATTTTTTTGTCATTCACCATGGTTGCTATGGTAACGTATAAAACAGATTGCACATAGAATTTTCACTGTAAATCCTGTTAGAAAATATATATTAAAAAAATGGGTAATAGGAGCATTCTACATACCTTGGGCTACATGTGTGCCAAAAATGGTACATTTTCGTTAAAAGAGTAAGAAGATAGCCTTGGGGGGCAGTTGATGAGCGGCCGAATATCGCAATTTGAGAAAAAGGCAGTTAAAGTCCAAGTAGACTTGAAACTTGTGTTTCTAGTGTTTTTTACTGTTTTAAAGTGTTATTCTTTCCTTGTCCGCTTGCTCTTGCCTTCCTTAGGAGTAGTTTTATCTGTCTTCCTCTTTCTCTTCCTTGAACCATTGAAATTATCTTCATTAAATGCCGCGCTTTGATATGTTACTCCTTCTAATGCCTTCAATCTGGCCTCTTCAACCAATTTCGCCTGTCGGATCTTCTGCCTTGCTTCTTTAAATTTCTTTTGGGCTCTTGCATTTGCTTGCTTCATTCTCTTCTTATTCTTTTTCCCACTTCCAGCTTTTGTATAGTAACCACCAGAGATCTCCAACTCTTTCATGACGCCACAGAATAGATAATAGGACCAGAAGTCTTACTCAAGCGGAAACATGTCCCATCTTTTATACTGCGCATGCGCGAGCTAAACAAGTGTAATGCAGTGTTGACAATAGAAAATTATATTGGGAAGTTGTCATTTCTACAGTAAAAACAGCTTTTTTTCAAGTAGTACGAAATGTGACTTCGATTTATCTGTGGAACTATTTGAACAGAAGGTAAAGCAGTAATTTTGTTGTATTTAGAAAGCAAACAGGGTCATATTTTTAAAAATATAGCGCACTGAATATAAATTTGAGCATCATTAAAATGTGTTCGCTATGATGCCATTTTGTCTCCGGTATATACTGAGTTCTGCTTTTATACTTGTGGATATTCGAATTTATTTGGCTCAAAAACACCATTACTTCAATATCCCTTTTTTGTTTTTCCTTGGATAGGTTTTAACAAGATAGAACTCTAGATCACTTGGGTCCAAAGACGCTAGATTATAAAATCCTGATGTGACTTGATACTATGAATAGAATATGTCTTATGATTTAATACTACAAATAGAATGTCTTTTAAGTACAAACTTCAATGAATTGATAAAGTGTAAGGATAGTGTTTAAAGTCGTTTCATGTGTAGAAGCTGAATTACTTTAGTTTATACACTGTAATGTCGATATCACATGTTGATATGACTTTAATACTAGCAACTTGCAATAAGTGGTCTGTCCTGCTTGTTTATAATACTTTAGAGTTTGGACATAGAACATTGTAATTGCCTGACAGAGACTGTTTATAGGGCCTGTTTGTATGGAAGCCGGGCTGGCCCGCTTAGCGAGACAGGTAGATACGCAGGATGAACATATGGTCACTTTTTAATGAACCAAGGAAGAGTCACGCACAAAACAACATTTAAGCAGTATAAACAAAGAGAGAGAAGAGAATATTGATTATTGGATGTTTATTAAAAGTGCTAGATTCTATCTAAGGTAGATACGCAGGATGATTTCTCTTGTGTTTATTTGAGAAAATTTCATCCTGCTTACCGGGACAATTTTGTTGTTTTGACATTGTTTTGACAGTTGTTAAAAATAGCTTGCGGCAGTATCGTTGAACATTCATCCTGGCAACTGGGCTATCCTGCTTGTGATTGTTTATATGGAAAAATTTCCATCCTGGTCTCTGCAACAGGGCCTCCCGCTTGTACATAGAAACAATTTTAATTATAATTTTTACTATAAAAATAAGTAGACAGCGAGATCTCACTTACCGGGCTGTCTCACTTAGCGGGCCAGCCAGTTTCGATATAAACAGGCCCTTACACAACTGCTAAAAGCTGCAAGTTTCTTTAAAGCAATATCATCTATATCACAGAATACAGTTTCTGTAGTGACATACTTCGTGTTTTTTCTGTCTTTAAAGTGTCTTATGTTTGTAATATTTTTGTACAATACCTTTTTGAAATTGTTGATACTGGTCTCATTGTAACTCAGTTATTCCTTTTCAAGAAAAATAAAAAAAACAAAGCTGTGTGGGTGTGTTTTTGCTCTAGTTTTTACATTTACATGGTTCATGTACAATTAATGTACATTTAAATTAGCTTCATTCAATGAATACAGGTGTGATTCAAATATCATTCCTGTCACGTACTTGGGTCAAATGGACATAAGCAAACTAAATAATGCTGTGAATTGAAATACAAGTATAGAGTGGGTATTGTTTAATAAATATATTTTCCAGTTAACCCAGTAAGCTGCATTGTGACCCAATGCACCATACTTTACTAGTTTATTTCACTTCATCTAAT